ACTGAAGCTATGTCTTTTATAGACCGAGATAAGATGTCACTGCCTGAAGTTGTTGGTCATCTCCGTGACCATTGCAATGTCAAAGAAGGCACAATGTTGCATTGGCTATTTATAGGGACAAACATGAGTACAGGCCTAAGAGCTCTGGTTGATGACAAAGTGTGCCAGTACATGTCTAACAACACTACTGAAGATGGTGTTGCCGATGTGTTAGTTGAAAATCACGAGCTGGATGCAATAGCTGAAGCAAGTGAGTATGAGGGAGAGATGGAAGCTGGCTCAGAGGATGATGACATAGAAGATGAAGATCTGCATCCTTTGGCTATTTGGAGAAAATATGAAAGCAAAGAAGAAGTAAAGAAGCAAGTTGCCCTTGTTAGAGAATTTTACAGTAGTCCAAGTAAAGGAAAAGAACAAGCAAAGCACATGCCTGGAGAGATAGCGAGAGCAAGTGAGCCTAATGTAGAAGAGAAGTCTGACACTGACAGTGAGTACATGCCTGGAGACTCATGCAGTTCAGGTGATGATGATGAAGCAGACCAAATACATAGGAAATTTAAGGATTTCAAGAAGAAGTTCAAGAGGGGGAGGCAACAAGCTTAGATGATGTGATATATGAGGGTGTTGCATCTAGGCCTGGAACTAGGCAAGATGATGAGGATGATGGCAACTGCACTCCATATGTAGACAGTACTGACGCAGAATCTGTTGATGAAGGGCAAGGTAGCATGCATCCAAGATTTAACAAGAAGAATCCTATTGTCAATTTTAAGTTGGGAATGAAGTTTAGTTCTAAGAAGCAATTCAAGAAGGCTGTAATTAAACATGGCCTGGATGAGAGAAAGGTTATTGCCTTTGCTAAGGATGATCCAAAGAGGGTGAGGGCCAAATGTGACTGAAAAAGTTGTCCAGGGGTATGTTTGTTGTCAAATACTTCTAGGTCTGATAGTTGGCAGATATCTACATTTGTAAATAATCACATGTGTCCACCAAGAAGAGACAACAAACTAGTCACCTCAACTGTAATTGCTAAAAAATATGAGAAGTTCATTTTTGCCAACCCATGCTGGAAACTTGGGCATATGTTGCAGAAAGTTCAAGAAGAAATGTTTGCCAAAGTTTCTATGTCCAAGCTAAAGAGAGCAAAAGCACTAGTGATGAAGAAAGCATTGGATGCAACTAAAGGGCAGTACTCTAGGCTGTATGACTACCAGATGGAGCTTCTCAGAAGCAACCCAGGAAGCACTGTTATTGTTAACAAGGAAGATAATATAGAGCCTCCTATTTTTAGAAGAATGTACATACATGCTTGTAAAGAAGGGTTCAAAGCTGGCTGCAGGAAGGTTGTTGGGTTAGATGGTTGTTTCTTCAAAGGAGCAACTAATGGTGAACTTCTTTGTGCTGTTGGGAGGGATGCTAATAACCAGATGTATTCTATTGCTTGGGCTGTTGTGGACAAGGAGAACAATGAAAATTGGGATAGGTTCTGTGATCTGCTCTTTAGGGATGTTGGTGTGCATGGAGAAAATGAATGGGTTTTCATCTTAGACCAACAAAAGGTAACCTCCTGTTAATCTTTTTTGTTGTTTTCACAATTCTAAACATGTGATGGTAGATGCTTTATAATTTTTCCAACTTGTGCAGGGAATTTTTAATGAAGTTAGCAAATGGGCACCAGAAGCTGAACATAGGAATTGTGCTAGGCACATTTATGTCAACTGGAAGAAGGAGTTTCCCAAGGACTACCAGAAAAGGTTTTGGATGTGTGCTAAAGCACCTTGCCTTATGCTTTTCAACTTGGCAAGAGCGAGGCTAGCACAAAAAACCAGAGAAGGGGCATAAGCTATTCTAAACACTCATCCACAACATTGGAGCAGAGCTTGGTTCAGGTTGGGCTCTAACTGTGACTCAGTAGATAATAATATTTGTGAGTCATTCAACAAATGGATCATTGAGGCTAGGTTCTTCCCAATAATCACCATGCTAGAAACAATTAGAAGAAAAGTAATGGTGAGGATCCAAGAACAGAGAACTAAATTAGGGAAGTGGACAAGTGTTATATGCCCAAACATCAATAAAAAAATAAATGTCTATATATCGTTGTCTGCACACTGCCATGCCATCTGCAATGGGGAAGAGAAATATGAAGTTAAGCATTACGACAATAGGTTCATAGTGGATTTGGTATCAAAGACATGTTCATGTAGGTATTGGCAATTGTCTGGACTGTGTCAGCTCAAGAACCGGCCAAGAAGAAGCCCAAGCCTGCTCCAAAGCAACCTGGAATTGCTCCACTCCAAATGCTTCCCTCCACGACAATCTGATAGGCTGTGATGTGTACAGCCTGCTGGCTGTATGCCAAACTTGAATAATTATGTAGACAAGAAACTTAAGTTCTATGGTTGATTATCTTTTATGTATGCCAAACTATGTGTTATGCCAAACATCTGGCTTTTATCTATTTGCTACTTATGCCATGTATGATAATTATTTGCACTTTTATCCATTCGTCAGTGTTGTGTTATCTGTGAGTACATGCCTATGTTATCTGTATGGTTCCTGCATAGTGCAATTATTTGCCTATGTTATCTGACATTATTATGGTGTATGCATTGGTTCCTGCATAGTGCAAATATAAGATTCAGTATGTATTGCTTTGTTTCTTTTCTAGCACGACAAGAGACAGTTTGTTGACAAAAAAGTAGGGGATTTGATTCATGCCATTACAAAGGGTAACATCCTGCCGATGCCGACAAACATTGACTATTTATACATTTGCATCACAACCAACACAAGGAGAATGGCAGAATTAAAACCTAACAACACTAGGACAACAACACCAACACACATCATCCAATTTAAATGTCCTTGCTTCTTCTTGCCTCCCTTCTTGGCTGAGGCTATAGTCCTCCTGTGCTCATACACACCAGCAGCTTCTTTCTTCATCACCCGTTCATACATCTCAGCTTGCACACTATCATCTGTCATCTCCAATGGATGGTAATGACACATCTCAGATTCTGGAAGCATCCCATAATTAACAAGAAAGTTGGCATATTCTTCTTCGAACATGTAGAAATCACAAAGAGGAAACTGCAATGCCAAACCAACAGAATAAATCACAAACCCTAAATTTCAATTACCATCGGCAATTTCAATAAGGAAACCAAACCTTCTTGTACTTCCTCGGGCATTTGAAGAACCTTTCCATTGGGTGCTTGTCTGATTTTGACAACAGCTCTAAAATCCTCCCCATGTCATGAGAAGGACACCAGATCAGTGGTAGCCCACTCTCTCCTAGTGGTGGCTCTCCCACGAAAACCCGGTTGTGGCGGGGAGAACACGCTGACGTGCTAAGGTCCATGGGGAGGCGGCATGGCAAAAAGCCGGAGGCAAGGAAGAACTAGCGCCACGCCATGTGGGTGGCTAGGGTGCGCATGAGCGAGGGGCGCCCGGGGATGCTCCTCTGCTGTCAAGGTTGCGCCGCGCCTTGCCCTTGATGCCCACGCCCAGATCCCCCCCCTTGTTGCCCCCTTCTCCGCTTGCGGCAGGGGCTGTCTCGGGGTGGACCGAACAAGGCGCAAGGCTCTGCCACTGTGCGAGCTAAGGTTGTAATTTGGGGAAATTTTTTGGCTCACGGGACCTCTTCCTTCGCTGAAATTTGAGTCGACTTGGCCCATATCCACCGTGGCGCCAACAAAGCCAAAATCACAGCTGAAACCAGGAATGAGAGTCATATGCATGGTTTGGATAGATGAGGGAGGTCGTTTCTCTGGTTTTCGGGATCAGGGAGGCAAAGCTGATTATCGTAAAAGACGAGGGAGGTAAAGTCGGCTTTTTCCTAAGCCAAACACGTTGCCTGGCCACTACGGGCCGCCCCTATCCCGCCCCGGCCTCCCAGGCGGCCGGGTCCCGAGCAAACGCACGGGCGCACGGGCCGAGGCCGACGCCTCCCGCGAGGCCCATGCCCACGCCCACGCGGGACGCGGACGCGGCTCCAGTTTTTTATCGTTCCACCCCTTGAACTGTTGAACACCTCCCACGTTTGCATAATTGCATCTCCAACTCCCAAGAACCCGCCACGCGTTTCTCCTCCCCCAGATCCATCAATTCGTTCGGAGTTTCGGACCGCCCTTCCCGTCGTCCCCGTTCCAAAGCGCGGCAGGCTGAGCGATTCCTTCCGTCAGATTTGAGTCGTCATGAATCCCGAGTAGTAAGGCCTCCGATCATCCTTCCCTTCTCTTCCGAGCCCATCACCGTGATCTATTCCGTTGGATTTTCGCTGGTTGCTGTTGGTCTGTGGTTGCGTGGTTCCGGTTGGAATTTACGGGGATCTGATCAGGCGCGCGCTGGTGGGTCTCACTAGCTTCCGATCTGGATCTGGGAATTCGTGATTTCCTGTTGGGATTTCGTAAATGAAAGGGCCTCCTGCGGCCGCAGTGCTTTGGTCTACCTTCATGGAGAAATTCATGTTATGTTCGGTTTAGATTATGCTTTGCTTTGTAAGGCGTGGTGAGAATGCTCTCTGGTGTAGAGGTATAGGCTTTCTAGTGGAAAATACGTGGCCATGTTTTTTTTTTTGGCGGGGGCGATTACCATGGGAAATCATTATCGAGTTATGACTTCTGTATATATTTTACGATGAACTGTTTTCTCTGCATGAACATTGTACTGTAAATTACTGCATTTGTTAATTCAACATGGAACAAGTCTATACTATGTTGAAAGTGTTGTGTAGCCAAGTATTTGTCTTGTTTATAATATGGTTGTAGTAGAATACTGAACCTATGATAACTCAATTTCAGAAAGAATCCAAACTGGAGTTATATGAAATTGTACAAGCCAAATGTTAGATTGGCCTATTCTGGCATTCAACATGTAAAGTTCAAATCTTCGTTTTATGAATTAGAAGGCTAGATAGGTAATGAAACATAAAAAATTAAACTTAGAGAGAAAAACAATTCTGAATAGGACCGCATGAGCACATTTATGTCACACTAATGACATTTGTAAGGTGTTGGTATCTTGGCGAAGTGATGGAAGCCAACATGATCTGCCAATAGAGTACTCATCCACCCTGTCAATGTAATGCACTACTTACCCCTAGTTTCCTTTTTCAATTTCAGTGACTACCTTTTCAAACTTCTGCTTATTGGTGATTCTGGTGTTGGGAAATCATGCTTGCTTCTCAGATTTGCGGTAAGAACAACTATTTCTTCTCATAATCATCCTTTGATACTCCTTCGCTGAAGTGGTGTATTTCTTTAGTGTAGCTGTTGCAATATAATAAATGTACACTTGAAGAAACATGCACCGTGTGACTTAACCTTGCAAGTTACAACTGCAGCTGAAAATCATTGATTACTATAAGTTTTCAAATCATGGAGAGGTCCTGTTCATGTTTCTATATATTGTTTTGCAGGGCCATAGTTTACTTGTATTAAATCATCATCCTTAAAGCTTAATTTGAAATCTTTCTTGCATAGACCGACAATGTTACTGATAAGTGTCATTCTGTGATTAGGATGATTCATATTTGGACAGCTACATCAGCACAATTGGAGTTGATTTCGTAGGTGCATTGCAAATTCATTTACTTACTCCTGAAATGAATTAATATAGTTTATTAATTCAAGTTCTCTTTGCGTCCCTTTAATAAGTTTTCTGTTTTATCATTTTTTTTTGCAGAAAATTCGGACAGTAGAGCAAGACGGGAAGACCATAAAGCTTCAAATCGTAAGATTAATGCTGTGCCATATTTTTCTTTTACTTAACATATGTGCATCCTTTGATGTATTTGTGATGTTATGCTTGACATATGTTTCCCAAGATAAACTGGAGAGTAAAAGGAAAACTTAGCCTTTTCCATAAAAGCTAGCAGAGAAACTGGAAATAGATATCTATTGATTGATCATGTAGGAAATAAGTTTAAACATGATGTAATTTAAGTTCCCACTAGTTAGCAGACGAACCAATGTTTTCTAACTGTGGAAATGTATTCCACTATTCATTTTTTTATCTTAATATATTGTTTATGACCTGTACTTGAGTTTGGTTGGTCTAGTTCTGTTGTCATTTGTACTTGTGAGTAGTGACAACACATTTTTCCAATAAGTGTAATTCAGCATCAAGTGTTTGAATTATAGCTACATCTGGAGCGTAGTATAATTAGTGAACTAAGCGAAATGCATTCCATAACAATGAACAACAGCCCAGATTTGTCTGAAAATTACCAATAGTTTTATGGTATAACTATTGTGTAATTCTTCAACTGACATGGTTTTGTAATTGCTGCAGTGGGATACTGCTGGACAAGAGCGCTTCAGGACAATCACTAGCAGCTACTACCGCGGAGCTCATGGAATCATTGTAAGTTGGCCACCTGAACTAGCAACTTCTGAAACTTGTCAACCATATTGATCATGTTACGATACTGTCTATGTTCTATTGTTGGCTTGTAGATTGTATATGATGTGACAGACCAAGAAAGCTTCAATAATGTGAAGCAATGGTTAAATGAAATTGACCGTTATGCAAGTGACAATGTTAACAAGCTCCTTGTTGGGAACAAGAGCGACCTAACTGCCAACAAAGTTGTGGCAACTGAGACAGCAAAGGTAAGCTATCCAGTTTCATGAATAGATACAAGGTCAGCAATATTTCATTTTTTACCACTCCCCTATGATTTCTTTGGACATTTACAATTGCCTAAAAACACCATTCAGGCATTTGCTGATGAGATGGGCATTCCATTCATGGAGACGAGTGCCAAAAACGCCATCAATGTGGAGCAGGCCTTCATGGCTATGGCTGCATCCATCAAGGACAGGTACAGCTAACGTGACAACTGGTAAATATCCTATTGCTGTCGTGAAATTCTACTGTGTTTAATGAAATCCTACTTGCTGCCGTTCTCAGGATGGCCAGCCAACCAGCTGTGGCTAACGCGAGGCCAGCGACCGTGCAGATCCGCGGTCAACCTGTAAATCAGAAGACGTCTTGCTGCTCATCCTAAGGTTGCCTGATTTCTTTTGTTCCTTGTGTAAACTCAACACACAATTACCACCGATTGTGTGCGCACAAGTGTATCTGCATTATTGGTTCAGAAGACGCCCTTGCTGATAGCATCTATTTGTTGCGGATGATAGCCCTCTATTTGTTGATCGGATGATTAGAGAGCTGCAAATATGTAAGAACATAGAGAAAATAATGTTGTTGCTCTATTGACTTAAGCCAAAAGCGAACAGGGGTTGCTCTATTGACTTAAGAGCAAAGAATGACAGTTTATTTCCTTCATTCTTTTCTACCTTATTATAATACAGCTTCACTGCTTATAAGCCACGAATTGCATTTGTATACAGCCCTCCGATTTGGTTTTGGTGGTTAACATGATCATTGTGACTAAAGTGTGTTGTGTAGCAGCAATCTAAGTTGTGGTCTGTTGGCTTCGATTATGGTTTTCATGGTATTAAATCAAAAGATATGCTTGAAGGATCAGTGCTCAGGACTGGCTAGTTCGAAATGCAATGGGAGTTGAAAAGCACCTAGAATGTTTCAGTATTTTTTTTTTCTTCCTTTGGCATACTATACTATCAGGTGAGATATAAGATGAGTAGTTTTGACCTGTTCTAGGCTTCTAGCCTTAGATAGATGGTAGGTATACTGCACACATTCTGTGCTAGAAATGCTTAGCAGTTGGATATAGAAACTAAAAGTATCCGAACCAGACGTGTGTCGGATCAAAATATGCTGGATTAATTTTGAGGTCACCGGATCATCTGGTGACATCGTGCTGATAGCCAGCTCAGGTTGTTCCTTCCAATGGGGTTAGAGCAAACGCAGGAAACAGGGGAAAATCACGCCTTTCAAGAGGGCCAAAAAAAAAGTTTTTTGGGCCAAGACTTGTAAAAATGGACTCCAACAATTTCAGGATTTCACATCGTGCCTCCCAGTCTCTCCGTCAGTTCCCCTCCCAAGTCCCAATCGACGTTTGGTGCCAGATTTATCTCGTGTGCCCCCGGCGCTGTCGCTTGCCTCCCGCCTCCCCGCGTGGACCGCTAGCCGTATCACCACTCGCCTCGTCTCCATCGTGGGGAACGCTTCGACAGCCACCTCCTCGTCACTGCTGCCGCAGCCGCTCCCCTTGGCATCCAGAAATCGACCTCGAAGAAACACAAGTCCACGTACCGTGTGCTCAAAGAAGGCCTGGAGGTCGGCGCAGCTGGTTCGGTGGTTCCGCCGTCAAATAGCCCATCCGCGGCGGCCGGAGCCACCGCTTTCTATAGAAGCTAGCGGGTCCCACCTGTTCAAACTCAAACCAGTCCAACTACGAAGCTCATTCCGGGCAGGGGCCGGCCGCACGGAACCGCGGAGGTCAAACTGAGCGAAACATGCCTTGTCATCACGGGCCGCCCCGTGTCTGTGTCTCCGTCGCACCGAAGCAAACGCGCGGCCAACGGCCAACGCCGCGAGGGCGAGTGAGGCCAGCGATGACGCGGGACGCGCACGCGGCTTTCGCTCCGCGACCGCGAGCCGCGGCTCTCGAGTACTTATCGTTCCGCCCCTTGAATATCTCACGTTTGCATCTCCATCCAACCACCTGCCCTCGCCTCGCGTCTCTCCTCCCCAGATCCATCGACTCGCTCGGACCGCCCCTCCCGTCGTCGTCCCCCGTCGTCCCCGTTCGAAGGCGCGGCAGAGACGAGTGATTCAGCCAGATTTGATTCGTCATGAATCCTGAGTAGTAAGGCCTCCGATCATCCTTCCCTTCCGTTCCCTTGTCTTGTCTTCCGCGCCCGCACATCACCGTGGTCTATGTAGCTGTTGCTCTCGTCATTCCGTTGAATTTGAGCTTGTTGCTGTGGGTTGCGTTGTTCGGATGATGGAGCTTACGGGGATCTGATCAGGTGCGCGCTGGTGGGTCTCACTAGCTTTCGATCTGGATCTGGAAATTTGTGTTCCAAATCGGATTTCGTGAATGAAAGGGCCACCTGCCGCCGCGGTGCTTTGATCTACCTGCATGGTTGTACAGCTTGGTGCACCTTTGATGGATGTATTTGCTCTCCGTCTATATTATGCTTTGCTTTATAGGGCGTGGTGAGAATGTTCTCTGGTGCAGCGATATAGGCTTTCTAAGGGAAAATAACTGGAGAATTATAATCATTATCGTATTATGAGTTCTGTTCATATTTTACGGTCAACTGTTCTTTGCATGAACATTGTACTGTAGATGACTGCATTTGTTAAATAACTTCCGCATGCTGCGGTTATGTAATGTAAATAAAGAACCTAAAAGTTGCTACATATTAGTTATTGTTGCATTGGAACATCCATTATATATGGTCAATGTGGAACAAGTATTTACTCCCTCCTATCGAAAGTATATGATGTTTGCTTTTTCTGTTTTTTAAGATGCGACTTTGACCATATTTTCCTATTAAAGTATTGTTATAGTGTCTAATGAATGTATGTGGTTAAGGAAGTGTTAGTAATACAAATCTACCCATAACATTTTTATATCTCCAAACTGAATATTTTTAGAATATGGGTTGATTTTTATCCAATTTTTAGGCAACCTGTGATATATGTGTGGCCAGTGGGAGTATGTTGACAGTGTTGTGTAGCAAAATAGGCAGTATTGTCTTGGTTACATCTTACATTATCATTGTAGTACCATTACTGAATCGTCAACCATTCAAGGGACTATGATAATTAGGGAAAGAACCCAGTCTGGAGATATACGAAATTGTGTAACACACGGTAGATTGGCCTCTTCTGACATTCAACGTGTATACTTCAAATCTTCGTGTTATGAATTTGATGGCTAGAGTATAGAAAATTCGGAACTTTATAGAGAAACAATTTTCAGCCTGTTCGCTTGTTGGTTTCAGCCAGGGTTTATCAGCCAGCCAACAGTGTTTTCCTCTCACAACAAACCAGCACTAGCCGGGCTTATCAGTTCAGAAACCAACCAGTGAACAGGCCGTTTGAATGGGACTACCTGAGCACATTTATTTTTGTGATAATGACAATTCAAAGTTGTTGGCATCTTGGCGAAGTGATGGAAGCCAACATGATCTGCCAGTAAATTACTATCTACCTTGTCAATGTATTCACTACTTAACCTAGTTTCTTTTTCCAATTTCAGCGATTACCTTTTCAAACTTCTGCTTATTGGTGATTCTGGTGTTGGGAAATCATGCTTGCTTCTCAGATTTGCGGTAAGTACTCCTATTTCTTCTCGTAATCTACACTGAAGCAGTGTATTTCTTTAGTGTAGCTGTTGTAATATAAATAAAATAAATAAAATAAATAAATAAATGTACATTTGAAGAAATGTGCACCGTGTGATTTAACCCTACAACTGCAGCTAAAAAGCATTGATTACTATAGGTTTTTAAATCCTGGAGAGTTCCTCTTTATGTTTCTATTTCATCGTTTCGCAATGCCACTTTTTCCTTATATTAAAGCATCATCCTTAAAGCTTAATGTCAATGTTTCTGATAACTTTCCTTCTGTGATTAGGATGATTCATATTTGGACAGCTACATCAGCACAATTGGGGTTGATTTCGTAAGTGCATTGCAAATTCATTTACCTACTAGTGAAAAGAATTAATATACTTTAATTCAACTTGTCTTTGTGGCCCAGCAATAACTTCTCTTTTTTTATCATTTTTGCAGAAAATTCGGACAGTAGAGCAAGATGGGAAGACTATAAAACTTCAAATTGTAAGATTACTATGCTGTATTTTTCTTTTTATTTATCGTATGTGGTGATGTCATATGTGACATGTTTCCCTAGGTAAACTGGAAAGTAAAAAACAAAAGCTAGCCTTTTCATAATAGTCAGTAGAGAAACTGGAACATTTATATGTGTTGACTGATCATGTAGGAAATAAGTTTGAACATAATGTAACATAGGTTCCCACTATTTAGCAGATGAACCAATGTTCTCTAAATGTGGAAATGATATTTCTACTCTTCAAATTTTTTTATCTAAATTTTGTTTAACCTGCTATGTAATCTAGAAGCACAATTTGGCATCAAGTGGTAGAATTATAGCTACATCTGGAGAATATCATAGTCTAGTGTTCATTGGTGAACCAAGGGAAATGCAGTCCATAACAATAAACAACTGCCCAGATTTGTCCGAAAATTACAATTATGTTATGATAAAACTATTGCATATTCCTTCAACTGACATGGTTTTGTAATTGCTGCAGTGGGATACTGCTGGACAAGAGCGCTTCAGGACAATCACTAGCAGCTACTACCGTGGAGCTCACGGAATCATTGTAAGTTGGCCACCTGAACTAGCAACTTCTGAAACTTGTCGACCATATCGATCATTTTACGATATTGGCTAATTGTTGGCTTGCAGATTGTATATGACGTGACAGACCAAGAAAGCTTCAATAATGTGAAGCAATGGTTAAACGAGATTGACCGTTATGCAAGTGACAATGTTAACAAGCTCCTTGTTGGGAACAAGAGTGACCTAACTGCGAACAGAGTTGTGGCAACTGAGACAGCAAAGGTAAGTTATCCAGTTTCATGAATAGATAGATTATGACAAGGTCAGCAATACTTCATTTTTCATTACTCCCCAATGATTTCTTTGGATATTTACAATTGCCTAAAAACACCATCCAGGCGTTTGCTGATGAGATGGGCATCCCATTCATGGAGACGAGTGCCAAAAACGCCACCAACGTGGAGCAGGCCTTCATGGCTATGGCCACATCCATCAAGGATAGGTATAGCCAACGTGCCATGTGGTAAATATGCTATTGCCATCGTGAAATCCTACTGGGGCTTAACGAAATCCTACCTGCTGCTGTTCTCAGGATGGCCAGCCAACCAGCCGCGGCCAACGCAAGGCCAGCGACGGTGCAGATCCGCGGGCAACCTGTCAACCAGAAGACGTCTTGCTGCTCGTCCTAAGATTGCCTGATTTCATTGGTTCCTTGTGACTATTACTACCGTTTGTGCGAGCACGCAAATGTATTTGCATTATTGCTGATAGCATCTATTCGTTGGCCAGATGATTAAGAGAGCTGAAAATATGTTAAGAACATCATAGAGAGAAGTTCTCAGTGCTGTCTCTCGACTTAAGGAGCAAACAGCGACACTTATACTTCATTTGTTTTCTACTTTACTATAGCCTCGCTGTTTATTAGTCGCGTTACATTACATTTGTGAACAGCTATTGTAATATTTTTTACTCTACTAGGTAAATACTCGTGCATTGCAACGGGAACACATAATATCATGATAACATATGGATGAGCATATGTAATTTTGTTATCTAAAATAGATACCGTAATCATAATGTTTATAATATTACATAAGTCTTCACGAAAGATAGATAGTTAAAATATAACTTTAAATTTGAATACAAAACTAAAACATCAACTTTAATTGTTGCATCACTTTATGCCTATGATACGTGAAAGATAAGCTTGCACTTCTTTAGGAATCAAGTGCTATGGAAAGATAATCATAACAAGTTTGAGTTTCACAATACATGTTTTAAAATTTGAAAGGATCAAGATGCCTAAGAGGAGGCGTGAATTGGGCTAATTCTAAATTCTTTGCAATAATTAATCTCTACATTTAACCTACTTCATCCCTTGTGTCTAGAAAGTGATTCTATTGTTCTACCGCATAAAAGTTTTGCAACCTAAGTTTCAATCCTACTCTAGCATGACAATTCTACAAATGTAAAGACACGGAATGAATTGCTCAAATGTAAATGCTTAAAGTAAAGAGAGGAAAGAACGCGGCGATGTTTTGCCGAGGTATCGGAGAGTCGCCACTCCCCACTAGTCCTCGTTGGAGCACCCGCGCAAGGGTGTAGCTCCCCCTTGATCCGCGCAAGGATCAAGTGCTCTCTACGTGGCTGATTCTTGGACACTCCGTTGCAGCGAATCTCCCACAACCGCTCACAACTTGAGTTGAGTCATCCACGAGCTCCGCCGGATGATCACCAAACTCCCGATCACCACCAAGCCGTCTAGGTGATGGCGATCACCAAGAGTAACAAGCACAAACTCTCACTTGACCATGACAAGACTAATGAGAAGGGTGGATGCACACTTGCTACTCTCCTTGCACTAATGAGGCCTTAATCTTGGATTCTTAAATCTCAATCACCTCACTAGGCTCTTGCTCTCCTTTGCACTCTCAAGGGTGTTTCTCAGCTGAACAAATGGGCAAGAGACCTCCCTTGGACGAGTGGAGTAAGTATTTATACCCCCTCATTCAAAACATAACGTTTGGAGGCTGAGTCATCATTCTGCGGGGTGATCGGACGCTCCGGTCAGTTATCCCCACCACTGTGTCAGAAAGAGCCGTTAAGTTCCGACCGGACTCTGACCTACGTCCGGTCAGCACTGACCTGACGCGTTCGGTCAAGAAAATGACTCTCTGGAACCTTACTGATGTTGACCGGACGCTGGCACCCAGAGTCCGATCACTTCGTTGTTCAGCGTCCGGTCAGTTACCGGATCCTGACCAGCGTCCGGTCACACTGACCGGACGCGTCCAATCAGGAAAATCCCTCTCTGGAACCTCTCTGGAGTTGATCGGACTCTGGCACCCAGCGTCCGGTCACTTATCACTCAGCGTCTGGTCACAACCAAACGACTTTAGTTGATTAAATGAACTGACCGGACTCACCCTTGAGCGTCCGGTCACAACCAGACCAGCGTCCGGTCAGTCATTTGACCCTCCATTCACTTCTAATTCGAAATCATATGTGCTCCAATTGATCTTAGAGCTATTCCTAAGCTATCTAGTGCTAGATTTAACAAGTGTGCCCCACACCTAACCCACTAGACTCACCTAGGTCAAGCTACTAGTCCATACCCCCCTTAATAGTACGGCCAAAGGAAAAAACAAAGTCCTAAACTACTCTAAGTGTCTTTTCAACACCAAACGATACTTAGAACTAGTCCATCCTTAATCTTATCGTCCATCCTTTGAAAACCAAAATGATTTCCATTGTAGGGGCATGACAACCATGATTGCCAAATCAATTGCCATTATCATGACCTAACTTAAATTGTCTCTGCAAAACACACATTAGTCATAGTAATCTCGTATTGTTATTAATCACCGAAACCCAACTAGGGCCTAGATGCTTTCAATCTCTCTCTTTTTGGTGATTGATGACAACACAACCTCAAGTATGTAAAAGAGATGAGTGAGGTTTTCAACATGCTTGGTTCATATAATCTTTTGACAATAAGAGCAAAGAAGTTAGACATGCTTATATGACCCAAGCCAACATGGTGTACTCAATAGATATGAATTAAGCATGAGTACATAAAGTAAAGCTCATTTGAATCAGAGTAAAACATGGAAGCAAAGCAAATGAGCATAAACAAGTGACATGACATATATATAAATCAAAGTAGAGAGCACACATGTCACATAAGTATCACCATCATAAGTATGTAATGCAATGCATAAAGGTAAACATGAATGCATAATGTATCACACATAAAGAGCCAAAAGAAATGAATCATATGCTCCCCCTAGATGTAATGCTCCCCCTAGATCTAACATACTTGATCCCTCTCCCCCTTTGACGTCAAGCACCAAAACCTAAGGATTTCGGACTGAGGTGCGGTGGAAATGGAACTAGGCATCCTCTCGACTCGAGAGCTCGAGCGGTCGCAGTCAGTGTCAGGCGAGGTGCGGTGAGAAATCTAGAACTGCAAAGCATCATCATCTCCGACTCGAGCGTAGGGACATGGACTCTCCCTCTCTATCACTAGAAGTGAAGGTGAAGCGAGGTCTAGAAGCAATAGGTGTGAAATGAGGACCACAGTACATCCTTTGGTGAAGCAAACCAGGCTCTCTGTAGGGCGCGCTGTGACTCTAGAAGTATCACTGTAGGAGGTGGCTCTGATGATGCAACAGATGACGGGAGCATCTCAGTAGTCCCGGTAATAGGAGCAACTATGGTAGGGACAGGGACTCTCATCTTTGGAGGTGTAGGCTACCCTGTCAGCTCACTAAAGGTAGCACCAAGACTCCTGGATACTGGGGTGTCAGACACTAGCACTGAGGAACTTTGAGGCGGAGTGAAGCCCGTAACAATAGGTGTGAAATGAGGGACCCTGAACTATGCATCATCCTTTGGTGAAGCAAACCCACTGGGACACCTCGCTCAGTAGGTGAAGCAAAAGGTGAGTAGTGGGTGTCCCGACGACTCTCGAAAAAGCCCATCTGGGGATGTATAGCTAGAGTCACTAAAGTGGTGGCAAACCTCATGGTAAGTGGGCCTCTCGAGGTGTAGAGCCGAGCTGGTGAGCAGCCTTCGACCCCTCATAACACATGAAGACATGAGGTTGCATGAAGCCAAGTAACTATTGCTGAATCATAAGCTGCTGCCTCTGAGAACTCGTCCTATCGAGCCTGAACCTATGCAAGAGCAGCTGCAGTCTCCTATGACTGGCGTGCCTGATCCTATCTCATCCGCTCAAGTATGGCAAGAAGTGCTAGGTCAGTCCATGGTGGCTGTGGTGGAGCGGAGCTGGAGCCACTAGCCTCTCTGTTGTGTGGTCGAGGAGGCATCTGAGGAATAGGCTGATAGTCATCATCAAAGTTGTCACTAGAGTCGCTCTTGACTACACCCTCCTGCTGAGCGTCTAGCTGCTCCTCCTCTATTGCTGCAATGCCCCTGATGATCTCATCCTACTAGGCTACTGTCTCTGGGACCTCTAGGCGATGGCTTGGCTGACGAGGTGACCTTGGTCAACTATGATGGAGCATCTAGGTCATGTTATATGGCAGAAACTCAGTAGTAGCACCAGTATACTTAGCCATCGTCTTAGGAGACTTCTGTGTGACTGCCTTGCGAATCAAGAAGGTGATCCAGTGAGCATAAGTCACCTGACGGTGACCTCTAAAACCCTCTACAAGTGTGTCCTCCATCTCTGAAAAGATGAGATCCCAAATATCAAATACGGTCTGTTGCACCAGAGAATTCACCAACCACAACTGAATGCAAGTCAAACCCTCATGGTAACCCATCCTCGGGAGCAGAGTCATCCTCATGATAGCATTAAGAAGCCAAGCTGTAGGTGTAAGATCACGTGGTGTCCTGCTCGACCCCTCGCCAAATGGCTCTGTGAAGCATGGTCTGATAAGATCCGTAGGTGGCACTAATCTACCGTGAGGGCATCTCGGAGGCTCTGTTTGTCCATAACATACCTTGGGTCAATGGGTGACTCTGGAATCCTAAGAATCTCTCTGACCCTAGAGCTCTGGAGCCTATAGTCATGGCCTCTAAATGCAAAGTGAATGAATATGTGCCTCGGGTCAATCCAAAGTGAAGAGTAGAACTCACGGACCCATGATGGAACGTAGCGGCCAGTTCGTCCAAGAAGATCTATCAACCCTGGCAAATATTAGAGGTGAGGATGGATCTGCTCACCTACTGCTGCAACAAGTGACTCAATGGAGCAGACTCTCTAAGATCTGAATGTAATCCCACTGTTCAGATAAGCATGATAGAAATCCCCCTACAGTACCGTGTAGAAGTGCTCTGACGCATGCTCATCCTGCCTCAGCGGAAACTAGTCCTCAAACTGCATGAAGTGGAGCTGTTGCACTTGTTTGGCTGTGGCTGCCCTCAGGTCAAGGTGAGTAACCGGAGGTGGACCTTGTGGTCTAGGAGGTGGACGAGAACCCCTCCTCTGTGTCTCAGGCCTCGGTGACACCTAAGTGCGATCATGACAGGCTTATGAGGTGGGAGCCATTATAGTAACCAATTTAAACTTAGCAAAGCTTATCATCGTGGTTAGATTGTTGCACCACTGCAAACTATTCAGCAGGCCTACTCATATCATCCCCACCGAGTATCCTCTAAGCCGCTTCTCACTTGGCGGGCACTTGTAATTACGCTACTCAATAGTCTCCCCCTTAGGTTG